TTCTGAGTAAATAAGATTGAATCAAATGAAACGTAAGTACCTTGCAAGAAAAACCCAAGTTTTAGAAAAGTGAGATGATACAATAATTCTTCCCTACTCAGTGCAATTGTTACATAAATTTATATATCTTTTGATGTATGTGCAGGGTTTCTTCTGAATATGTGCACATACACAAGACCAGGCATAGGAGGACAGAAATATATATTCATTTAACACTAACAGTAATCGTGGGGCCATTTAGAAAGATGGGAAATTATGGACCATTGATAAGGGAAAGAGCCCCTCACTTTGGGGCCTGGTTGAGGTCTCTCACCAGCAGAGAAGCAAGAACTCCAGCATGATCAGCTTTGTCCCCTTACCACCTCTAAGCCCACGATTTTCTAGAAACCTCACCAGAAACCCATTTAGATGGAAAGATGTCCTGAATGCCGTGGGTAATCTTAGTGGCTTCTGGCTTCACCTCATAAGATTATAATTCCATTCAAGGCATCTCCAGAGCTGCCTTATAATCTCATTTATCAGAAGAGAGAGAAAAGGGGGATTACTAACCATCTTCTGAAATATAAGTTGAGAGTCACCAAAACGGCATATATGGCTAACCATGAAACATTTATTTGAAGCTCTTCCTTGAGGAGCCCATATCCATACCTGGATATGTCTTAAATCTCTCTTTTTTTTTGAGGTAGTGTTTCTCTGTGTAGCCTTGACTATCCTGGAACTTTCTCTGTAGACCAGGCTGGCCTTGAACTCACAGAGATCCACCTGCTTCTGTCTCCTGTGTGTTGGAACTAAAGACAAGTGTCACCACCGTCTGGCCATGTCCTAATTTTTGCTATTCTCTTGTGGGAAGCCAATATCCACACTTAGGCATGCCTTATTTTCTTCCTGAGTGCCTTTCTCTCTCTCTCCTAACCCTTATGCTTAACAGCCTATATTAAAACATTTTTATTAAAATCAACAACTCTACATCATACTCTTTAGTCCTACAATTCTTCTCTGTCAAAGCCGTGAAGCCTGGGTTTGCCTGGGTTGAGATCTCTAAAAGATTAAAGGACTTCCTCAGACTGCTGAGGGTAAGAATATGGATCTGTGTGTCTGTCTGCCCTCCCACTGCTGACAATAGATCAAATAGAATGTCTCTTTTGTTCTTTTAAAACCAATGGACAAAAACGTTGGTACCTTGCCAGGTGGCAAGCCTCTCTCCTTTCATGCTCAATATTGCGAATGAAACATTGACCCAGACATCACAAGTGTGTGGGGGGCGAAGTCCTAGTTTTTCTGAAACTGTGAAATAGCAACCTTCCTCATGCTTCCTCATTCCTTTAATATAGTTCCTTATGTTGTGGTGACCCCCAACCATAAAATTAATTTTTTTTTGCTACTTTATAACTGTAATTTTGCTACTGTTAGAATCATAATGTAAATATCTGTGTTTTCTGATAGTCTTAGGTGCCCCTGTGAAAGGGCTATTTAACAACCCCCACCTCCAAAGGGGTTGTGATCCACAGTTGGGAACAGCTGGTCTAACTGTTTAAGTCTTGGCTATCAGAGTTAAAAGACAGGCATAGTTTAAGAATCTATGATGGAAGAAGCCTGGATCTATTTGATCAAATATCCAGAAGGGGGTATTCTTAAGCTCATACAGGGCGATGGTCTTCCCATCTTCTTTCTTAACTCTGGCAAAATGAGAAAGAGCAAGAACAGAGGTACACAGACAGAAGAAGCCCCTTTCAGACAGTCTCCACAGTAAAGTAAGTGTCCGTGGATCTGCCAAAAAAGAGGAGAAGACTTTCTCAAACCTTCTAAGTTCTCCTGGCTGGTGCTCACAGCTCATAATCCAAACTCAGCAGGTGCACACGATCAGGAATGGTGGAAAAATACAATCTGTGAACAGAAACAGTCTAAAACATCCATGGGCACGCATTTGCAATCCCAGCACTAAGGAAGGTGAAGCCAGAAGATGTCCAGTTCCAGGTCAGCCTGGATTACAAGGCAAGACCCTATCTCATACAATCAAGCTGGACATGGTAGCTCATAGCTGTAATCTCTGCACTCAGGAGGCAGAGGTGGGAACACTGTAGATTTGAAGCCAACCTGGGCCATATGGCAAGTTTTAGACCAAGCTATGAAACCCAATCACAAAATGCAAGCTAGCAAAAATCTGAAATGTTGCCGCCTTTATACTGTGGTCTAAAAAGTAGATTTTGTTTCTCTAGAAATGCAACCCTGGTGGCAGAAGCATTTTATGTTTATGACTGTCACCGCTACTGTCATTTTAATTTAAGGACCGTCGGGCAAAGCAGTCTGCAAGGCACTGGGTCTTTACCACGAGTTAAAAGTGAGGAGAAGAACAGAACACCAGGAGGGGTATGAGGCAGGGCCACACTCATCTCTCAGACGCCAGGGTGTTGAGGCAGCACATTTCCAGGCTGGCTGGAGGGCCCCAAGGACATGACTTTCTATCTTTCAAGGTTAGGGTGAAGATCCTTGACATTCATAGAAAATGATTGGGACTTCCCGACTATAAATGTGCCCCAATTATTAAGAGCTGAGGAAGAAATGGTCTTTATCCATCAAAGGTCAATACAATGCTTTGGGGATTACAGAATACTCAGTGGGGAAAAGTCAGAAAAAAAGACAGTCCTGACTGAGGCCATGAAGAAAGTCAGATAGCCTCTGAGGTTGTTTTTCCAAAGGTGGCCTGTTGCTGCAGCTTGACACTCCCTTTCCGCCTTTACATTTTAGTTCTTTAGATTGGGAAAACAGTGTCATAGTAAAAATTGTGAAGGATATCAGGCCATCCATCATACTTACCGTGGCTGACATTTTCAAAACGACTCTGAGTATGGGGAGTGGTCGAGGTTCTAGCAAATGAGTCATACGTAGCCAATGGACACTCCTTGAGCACACCCGGAGACACCTCAGCTTTTAAATATAGAGTACATTTTGACACCTGGACAAAATGGGCCATGAAGTTTGAGTCACTCTCCAAGCTGTTTATGAATGGCCTACCTTATCTTTCCATACAAGAAATCCATTGTCATTTTTTGCTCTGAACCTAATACAATTGAAAGTAATTGCTTTGCGTATCTGACTGCAGCAGGCACCAGAAAGTGACTTCGTGTTGCTAAGTAACTGATGCCTGTGTTTACATAGACTGCCTGGAGCACGCTCAACACAGATACTTGGTTCCATGCTTGGAAAACAGGACAATTCCTATATTGCAATGGAAGCTACTACATCTTTCCTGTTGGGTTTCCAATAGGAAGTATCTTTCTTTCCTGGAAAAGCAGTAAAAACACTTGAAATGCCCCAGAGTCAGCATCTGAGTGTGAGCAGGGCTGTTTTTCTAAAGGACCTTTCTGAAAGCCAATGAGATATCTGTATAAAGTTGATGGCTAATCTTAGTTATCGACTTAACGCACCTATGAAGAGGAAGCCTCAACTGAGGAATATGTGGGAAACTCAATCCATCAGATTGGCCTGTGGCCATGTCTGGGGCAGGGGCATTCTCCTGATTAATGATTGAAGTGAGACGCCCAGCCTGCTGTGGGCACTGCCATCCCAAGGCAGGTGGTTCTGGGCTTTGTAAGAAAAGTAGCTGAGTGTGAACTTGAGAGCAAGCCTGTAAGCAGTGTGCCCGCATGGTTTCTGCTTCAAGTCTGTGCCATTCTGGAGTTCTGCCCTATTTGAGTTTCTATCCCCAATTTCCCTTAATGATGGACTTTAAGCTGTAAGATGAAATATACCCCTCTTTTTTTTTTCTCTCCAAATCGGTTTTGGTCAAAGCATTTATCACAGCAACAGAAGCAAACTAGGAGAAAGGGCATGTTTTTGTGAGACTATGAACATTCTTTTTGCACCTAAGCTCTTTCTCCAATTCTTTTTGGAGATCCACTGTCCTCTCTTTCGTTCATTCCTGAGAGACCAGAAACACTGGGCACATGGTTTCTTTCTGTTGAGGGAAGGGTGCTGAGTGCTCCTGCATTCCAAGTTCCTAAACATTTCTGACCACTGAACATAACATTGTCTGCCGAGCCAAGGGAAATCAGACAGACCATTTCAGAGCTGTGGGAAAGATCAGCAGAAAGTATGATTTGCTGGAGCATCCCATGCTCTCCCCTGAATGCCTCTCCATCTGGAGACATCTCATCCTTGACGTTTGGAAGAACCCATCTAGGAATAAACCTAAAAGAGGCATTGACCAGGGGAGATGATAGGAAGCAAGCACCTGTAGTGGGTGGGGTTTGCGACATTTGTGTAGTGTGCTAGTTGGAGGGAACCACAACTGCTTGTACATAGGTGTTATGAAAGTTTCTGGAAGAACTGGTTGGGGTGAGAAAGAGAATCATCATGGCAGCACATGCTTGATACCAGTTCTCCTGTTGAGAGCCTCATGATTCCAGCCCTGGGCCCTGCCTATGACCTACTTTCTGGGGCCTTGTCTATCCACCCTCCCTGGGTTCTCACCCAGGAGTGCTACAAAAAGAGAACGAGGAACACAGTTCAAGGGGCCCCAGGGCACCTGAGATTCCCCAGATGAGGGTCAGAGCAGCAAGTCAAGTTTTCTCCCTCCTTCCTTCATCCAAAGTAGAGAATCAGGGTGTATCCCAAGGCACCGGGGAAGGTGTGTCCTTTTCTCCACCTAAAGAGAGAAGGGCCCAATTCATGGAAACCATCACTATCAAATGCTGCTTTTCATAATGTAAATGACTTTTCAGCATCCTGAGTGGGGTCGTTGTGTTTCTCGGTGCTGAGAAGCCAAGTATCTCGGCATTCCCATGAACTAATTAAAAGGCTAAATGGTGCACCCGTCCAATTTTTGCTTCTCCATTATGACTCCAATCCCTCATTTTCTACTTTGGATGTGGGACGCTCATTCCATTCACACCTCTCCTGATAGAGATAGTGTGCTGTTATGACAAGGATCAGTGTTTTATTCCTTTAAACTCATTTTAATTTTAAAAGTATTGCAGGTGCCTTAGAACCAGCTATTCAACATGTCTCCACTGTGGCTGCTTCTGGGCCTCCTGGCCTTGACCGGTGAGTGTGTTTCATTTTTCCCAGATAACTTGGAAATGGATAGAAAAAGCATACGAAGGTAAAGCTACACCTTCCAGTTGTATAACCAAAGTGAAAGCATTGGTTTTTTTTTTTTTTCTCATAAGATGTCTGATAAATCCTGGAGTTAGGAATAACAACTGATAGCAGCCTATTCCAAGAGTCTCATAAAAGGCCCGGCAGTGGTGGCACACACCTTTAATCCCAGAATTTGGGAAGCAGAGGCAGACAGATCTCTGTGAGTTCGAGACCAGCCTGGTTTACAGAGAGAGTTCCAGGACAGGCTGCAAAGCTACCAAGGAACCCCGTCTCAAACAAACAAACAAAATCAGGCTTTAAATATTCATCTTTATAACTACTCATTGCTGCTATAAATACTCTTAAACCCTGTTAGTAACTTTACTCACTGCTGGGACAAAATGCCTGACAAAAGCAATTTGAGGAAGGAAGGGCTAAATTTGGACCACAGTTTGAGATTATAGTCAATCATGGTGGTTGAGTCATGGCAGTGGGAATCTGAGATGGCTGGTCACGTAACATCTGTTATCAGGGAGAGGAGGGAGATATTGCTGGTGTTCAGCTCATTTTCTCCTTTGAATTCAGTCCAGGACAGCATTCCATGAAATGGTGCGGCCCACATTTAGCATAGGTCTTCCCAGCTCAATTAATCTGGATAATCCCTCAGACATATGAGGGATTTGCTTCCATGTAAACTGTGAATCTTCATCAACCAGGCACTAAAGATCAATCCATCATCCAACACCACACTACTGAATTTGTTTAGAGACTATATATTTCCAAAGAGAGATTTGGGTGGTTGCCGTATGACTAACATAATTCAAGTAGGAAAGCAGCGCCAAGAGAATCCACATGTGACAGAACTGATGGGCACATAGTCACAGTCTTTAATTTCAACTTTGGTTCTAACGTTGGTTTCAGCTAGAGCAAAAAGGGAAAGTATTCGTTTTTTATTTGAAAGGTTTATTTATTTGCTGTATATGAGCTAATTCATTCAACCAATATTTGAAAGCTCCTACAAAGTGCAAAGCATTAACTACAAGGAACTCTGAGGATGGTATAGTGTGGTTAGGGAAAGGTCAGTGAGGGAGAGAGCAATGACACCATCAACTGCCACATTACGGGCATATGTCAACAATCATGAAGACAGAAATGGACTGCCTAAGACATTAGAAGGGATACTTGATTATTTTTTTATTGTGACTATATACACAAATCACAAGGTCTTTCCACAAATAACATTTCTCTCAGATTAACTCATCCACATCTATGAAGTAGAAGCATCTATTCCAAAATACTAGTGTTTTCAGATGTCAGCTCCATGAACCTGTTATAAAAACAAAATCTGGTGATGGAGAGACGGTTCAGCAGTTAAAAGCACTTATTGCTCCTGCAGTGGACCTGGATTTAGTTCCTGACACACGTGGCAGCTCACAAACGCCTGTAGCTCCAGTTCCAGGGGATCCAGTGCCCTCTTCTGGCCTCCTCAGGCTCCTGCTTGCATGTGGTACACATAAACTCATGTGCACACATACATGCACAAAACATATAATCTTAAAATGCATTTATGGAAACATGTAGGGATCATATGATGTCGTGGCATACATAGAATTCCCAAGAACTGACAGTCATTGAGTGAATGATACCACTTACCTTAGTCAAAGAATGAAATCTACTCTGAAAGAACAGTCTAGAGGCTAGGGAGATAAGGCCACTGGTAATGTGCTTGCCAGGCAAGTATGAGGGTCTGAGTTTGATCCTCACCTATGTAAACATCAAAGCATAGGGGCCTGGATGACACTGGGAGGCTAAGACAGGAGGGATCCTGGAATTGACTGGTCATTGCACACTTGTAATCCCAGTACTTGGGAGGTTGGGACAGGAAAACTAGGAGTTCAAGATAATCCTTGCCTACACAAAGGCCAATCTGGGCTGCATGAATCCTGTTTCAAAAAACATTAGTCAAGTAATTAATTAAAGCAATGTCTCCTATCCCATGATGACTAAAATAACACAGATCTCTTGGGAGATAAGACCGAAAAAGAATGATGCAGGAAGAGGGGACCTTATATAGAGATCTGATCCTATAACTGGTCTGCACACACTGTCTTTGTAATCTTTGCCCCCTGCCCAGAATGCTCTGGGAGAAACTGAAACCAACTCTGGTCCCTGTTTATAGACCATACTTTTACTTGGGGTCTGGATGGAGATGCTAAGGAGACTCTGGCTTTAAAATACATGTTTCAATACATGCAAACATGAATACCTCACCAGACCAGTGAGCTATGAGACACCCTTGAGCTTTTCAGAGAAGGAACTGCTCCAACAGTTCCTTGTGTCTGCAGAGAAGGAGGTAAGAATTTCAAATCAAAGTAGTGTTGTGATACTACTACTTAAATTCCCAAGGAGGTTGAAATGTAGAGTGTTGCTCGAGCTTCCGCTGATTTTATTGTAGTTGGTTTATTGATGTAATTCATTCACAGACTTCTAGCTCAGTACCTCAGGTTAAACTTTCCTCAATCTGCAGGTTCCTCTGAAAGCAGCAATTGGGGATGCTACGGAAACATCCGAACCCTGAATACCCCAGGAGCATCTTGCGTGATTGGAAGACGCCATGGCCTGCCTTATTGTGGTAGTTAATAATCTCTGTGTCTACTCTTTCCTCTTGACATGTCCTCTTGACTCCTACTGTTTCTCATGGTGGAAGGAGTGGAAGGAAAGAGCACTGAACATGGAGTCCAAAGCCCTTGTGAGGGCCCTGGCTCTACTTCTTAAACAAACCATATAGTTTTTCAAGTTTTGTAAACTTTTATATCATGGGGTGAGAGTGCTTCTCGGACTGTGGAAGAAACTAGAACCAAAGCTAGTTTCTAGTTTCTTGTACAGTGTAATGTAAATTGGTATCATTTTCATAGTTTAAACTTATATGATTTCTTGCCACCACATAGGAGTGATGTGATGGGGCAGTTGTAAGCAAAATTGTCCAGGGGGATTTGCCAAAACTTACTAGAGGGTTAGGGGACTTTCTCCTTCACACAGTGACCTGTTGCAGTGGCATGAAACCTTCTCTGGGGTTCTTAGGATTCGACCACTGGTGCTTGTGCCTACAGAATTGTCATGGAAGGGAGAAGCTTAGCTCATAGCCACTGGTGACCACAGAGATCTCTAGCATCAGGAGATGCATGCATGGAGTGAGGATTTTGTTTTACAGAAAAGGTCTTAATATGAGGTCAGGAAATGGCTACTAGTGGTTTAAATTTGTTATTTTCAGATCTAAGTCTAAGGCTAACTCAGCCTCACTCAGCCACATAGTCCTTTCTGTGTTTGCTCTAGGAGTCCGTGCCTCTGAAAGGCTGGCTGAAATAGACAGGCCATATCTTCTGAGATATCAACCCACGATGAGAATTGTTGGCCGGAAATACTGTATGGATCCTGCAGTGATCGCTGGCGTCTTGTCAAGGGAGTCTCAGGGTGGCAATTTTGTGGTCGACATGGACAACGTGGGCAATGGAATCGGGGTGATACAGGTAATGCACCGTCAGTCAAGGTGGCTTGGTGCTGAGGAAATGGCTCAGCTGGCAAAGTGATTCCTGGAAAAGCATGAAAACTTAAGTTCAGCTCTCCAACACCCATCCAGAGAGCCAGCCATGGTGGTGTGTGCCCGAAATCTCGATGCTGTGTTCTCAAGGTGGAGGCAGATGGATTCCTGGAGCTTACTAGCTGACTAGACAAATCAGTGAGCTCCAGGCTCAGTAAGAGATTGAAGAAAATACTCAGTGTTGATCTCTGGGCTCCACAGGCATGTTTACACACACGCACATCTACCTACATGTATTCCATCTGAACACACACTCACTCACACACACACACACACACACACACAGAGAGAGAGAGAGAGAGAGAGAGAGCGAGAGAGAGCGGCCATTCTGCTTTGTGACACAACTCCAAGGGAACATGATTGTGGTTTCATTGCAGACGGCACAGTGGCACAGAACAGAGTGAATGACGGTACCGCCTGGGGTCTATGAGAGCTGTAGCAATTCTGGGACCATTTCCACTGCACTTGGAGCCACAGTTTCTCTTCAGAGTGAACATTGCTTTATTTCTAGGACACCCCACCCCTGATACTTTACTCTGGGTTCCCTGTGAGGCACTAACTAGTTCATGAGAAAGACCACAGATTGCATCTCTGCTCTGTAGTCTTTATGTGTGACCTTGAATGGGTCATCTTAGTTCACTGGGCCTGTTGCCCAGTTTGTTCTTGGCAGTGCTGGGGAGTTAAACTTTGTGTATTCTTTTTTTTAAAGATTTTATTTATTATGTATACAACATTCTGCTTCCATGTATTATCTGCACACCAGAAGATGGCACCAGATCTCATAGTGGATGGTTGTGAGCCACCATGTGGTTGCTGGAAATTGAACACAGGACCTCTGGAAGAGCAGTTAGTGCTCTTAACCTCTGAGCCAGCTCTCCAGCCCCAAACTTTGTGTATTCTAAGCAGATGCTCTACTACTGATCTCTACTCCAGCCTCTAAATGCCATTCCAGTTGAATTATAAAGAATCAATGGTGGCACACACCTTTAATCCCAGCACTCAGTTTGTTCTTGGCAGTGTTGGGGAGGAGGAGGCAGAGGTAGCTGGATCTCTGTGAGTTTGAGGCCATTGTGGTCTACAGAGTGAGTTCTAGGACAGCCAGAGCTACACAGAGAAACTCTCTCTTGAAAAAACCAAGAAAAAATAAAAGTATCTCCTGATACCTTATCTCGTTTTGATTTGTGGATACATTCAATAATCTGATGAGATGGGGCAGTGAGCCACCAATAAGGAAACGAGCTCACAGAGGAGTCACTGTTGTCAAGTTACACTGGCCAAGAGAGAACCTGAACCAATGACACCTTGTGCTGTTAGGAATGGTGTCATCTACTTCCCTGTTTGTGCTTGGTTTTCTCTTTTGTAAAATCTACTCCTTGGGGGGAAGGATCAATTTATCTCCTTTGAGATAAAATTTTTAAAAAATCCCCTAAATTCAGCCATTTCTCCTCAGTCTGATGATATCTCTTTAAAAATGGTGACCTATGGCATCCAAGAAGGGTTAGAATCACCTTCAGACCTTCTGGTGGCCTGCAGGGGGGCCTGAAGCACAGGCAGGAAGGACCTCTTCCTGCTTCATTTGGAGTTAGAGTTGCAGCATGGAGGAAGGGCGTCACACTGGATTCTAAATGCATTAGCCATCTTGGCCTCTGCCTTGACCTCTCTCTGTTACACTGGGACAACAGAGAGAGAATGCTTACACCTCCTTAGCCTAAACCCTGTAGTTTATCCCCCTCCTTATTTTTGATAGGAATGTGTAAAATGAGATTCTTAATGGGTTTCACTTAAAACACAATTCTGGGTCACACAATATTGTTAATTACAGACATAATATTGTACACCAGATTTTTCTAGAAAAGCTTTACTGTAGAACTGAAAGTCTAGACACCTTAACCTGCAACTGCACTTCTTCCTACCACCGGCCACTGTTGGTCACCCTATTCAGTTCTTGGCAACTATAAATCTGACTTTTTATGCCCCTCATGTAAGTGGAATCATGCAGGGCGTGTGTGTATGTGTGTGGTGTGACTGGCTTATTTTACTTGATATAACACCCTCACATTTCATCTAAATTATCTGTACTTCACAATATAATTGTCTTCCTTTTGAGGCTAAAATATATTATATGGTGTGTATATATCTCATTTTATCTATTCATCTGTCAAGGACACTTAGGTCATTTTTATCTCTTGGCTATTTATTGTGAGTAGTGCTGAAATAAGCAGGAGAATGTGTTTATCTCTGTCAGATCCATCTCTCTCTCTCTGCGTCTCTCCTCCCCCCCCTCTCTTTTTTCCCTGGGTATTTGAGACATGGTTTCTCTGTATAACAGCTCTGGTTATCCTGGAATTCTCCCTGTAGACCAGGCTAACCTCAAACTCCAGAAATCTCCTTGCTTCTGCCTCCCTGGTGCTGGGATTAAAGGTGTGCACCACCACCGTGGGCAGAGTTCCAGATCTCAATTTGTTTGGATAAACACTCTGAACTGGGACTGCTAGATTGTATGGCACTTTTAATTTTAATTTTGAAAAGACAGACCTCTATATGACCTTTGACTTGACCTCTCTCTGTTACACTGAGGCAACAGAGAAATGATTGCTTGTCCCTCTTTAGCCTAAACGATGTAGCTTATTTTTCTCCCTTATTTTAGTCCATGGTGGTGACACCATTTTGCATTCCCATCAACAGTGCATAGGGTTCCAATTTTTCCATGTCCTTGACAACATTTGCCTTAAGTGTTTTGGATAGTAATTCTTGTAAATGTAGGTAGTTTCTTCACTTAATCTCTGGGGAGATGGAAAGTAGAAAGAGAACAGAAGGGAGATGAAGGGATCCTTCAGGAAAGGATGCTCACCAGGCCTCTCCTCTGCCTCCATCCCTCCAGGACCCAAACTTCTACCCTCCCACATCCTGGAAGAGTGAGTCCTGGGTTTCCCAGAAAACTGAGATTCTGACATCTAAAATCAAAGAAATCCAGACTAGGTTTCCAACCTGGACCCCCGACCAGTACCTGAGAGGTATGTGTTCCATTGTTGGCCAGTTGTTTCTTAGCCTGGAATTAAGAGATACAAGTGTATCTCTTAATAAAAACCAGATTCTCCAGGCCACAGCTGCCTGATGTGGGCAGCCAGGAAAGGGAATCTGAGCTTCCTGTTGAGTGTTCTCAAGCTGGGTGAGGATTAACCTGTCACATGAATTTCAGGTGGACTCTGTGCCTACAGTAAGGGTCCTAGCTTTGTCCGAAGCAACCAGGATCTGAACTGTGACTTCTGCAATGATGTCCTTGCACGAGCCAAATACTTCAAGAACCACGGCTTCTAGCACTTCAGATGCAACTCAAGTTCATTACCCATACACGAGGCTCACCTATTCCACTCATTTGGCTAGCGGGTGGAGACTGCAACCTCGAATCTGAGTTGGATCTGAAAGCTGTCAAAATATCATGAATCATAATAAAAGAAAAGTCATTATCTGCACTATACATAGACTGTGTCTTTTTAAAACATTCCCCCAGATGTTAGCTCTAATATGAATTGTGTCTTAAAACTCTTCCCCAGATGTTAGCTCTAGTATGGATTTCTGTGAGATGACTCCTATGTCTCAAGGAATCCAAATGCCAAGTCCAGCAAATAAAGGCTCAGGAAACCCAGGTTACATGTCAATCACATTTAAGCATTGAGTTTGGGGCAGCATTGGGAACTGAGTCCAGAGCCTCATGTATACTGAGCACTTGTTCTACCACTGGGCTCACTCTACTTCAGCCTCAATGAAAACTAATATTTTTTTTTTATTTTTAAAGTTTTTTTTTTCCAAGACAGGGTTTCTCTGTGTAGCCTTGGCCATCCTGGAACTTATTCTATAGACCAGGCTGACTTTGAACTCAGAGATCTGTCTGCCTCTGCCTCCCGAGTACTAAAATTAAAGGCATGTGCCACTACCACCCAGCAAGATTTTTAATTTTTACTTAATGCATGTGGCTGTTTTGCCTACATGTATGTCTGTGAACATGCAATGCCTGTGGAGGTCAGAAAAGGGCATTGAATCCTCTGGAACTGGAATTACAGGTGGTTGTGAGCCACCTTGTCAGTGCTGGGAATTGAACCTGGGACTTCTGGAAGATCATCAAGTGCTCTTAACGGCTGAGCTAACATCCTATCCCCAACAAACAATATTTCTAGTATAAACTTCATACTATATTTGGAACAAAATTTGCACTAGGAAATTATTCACTGTCTAAAATTCCAATTTAAGTGGGCTTCTTCTATTTTTCTTAGCTGCTCTGCCATTTCCTTCTTCTTCTTTTTTTTTTTTTCCCCCCGAGACAGGGTTTCTCTGTGGCTTTGGAGCCTATCCTGGAACAAGCTCTTGTGAACCAGGCTGGTCTAGAACTCACAGAGATCCGCCTGCCTCTGCCTCCTGAGTGCTGGGATTAAAGGCGTGCGCCAACACCATCCGGCACCATTTCCTTCTTAGATAAATGTTTAACTGAAAAAATTCAATTTTTTAGGGTAAGATGGTGGTGATTAAGATGAAGCATGGACAGTTGGTTTGAAAAGGAATCTGACACAATTCCCTGCAATGAGGTCTTAGATTTAGAAGACCTTGAGGACACAGTTAGGTCTTAAGGTGGAAAGGAGTATATTTTCAAAATATATATAATATGTGGAAAATCTAAACATAGTGAGGCCTTAAAGGGCAGGGGAGGCTTGCCCTCAAAGCAATGGTTCTCATCCTGTGGGTCATAACCCTTCAGGTCACATAGAGCTGTCTTCTGTATCAGATATTCACATTATAATTCGTAACAGTAGCAAAATCACAGTCATGAAGTGGCAACAAAAAACTTTATGCTGGGGGGTGGGGGTCACCATAACGTGAGGAACTGCATTAAAGGGTCACAGCATTAGGAAGGTTGAGAACCACTGCTATAAATCCTGGAACGGAGCTTCATTATAAGTGAGAATAAGGGAGAGATGGGGAGAGACGGGGCCACGAGGGATGGCTATGGGAGGCCAGAAGAGCCTCTCGAGGCTGCAGCCTAGAGACTCCACCCCTATAAGTCAGTCCACTGGGCTTTTTATTACCTTTTAGGGATGGCAAGAAGTTCCACTTGACTCAATTTACTTCAGCCTAGTAATGTGTCAAATAAACAGGAGCCAGCAACTGCTTGCCTCTTAACTCTGTCTCAGAAAAACCTCCAAGGAGGCACAGCATGATTCGGGCTGTAGGATCTAGCCTGAAGGTGTAGACCTGTGTTCTAACAGTGACCAGTCATATATACTGGGGAAAGTGGTTTGGAAAAGTTACTTGCTAACAACTGTGCAGCAGCATCTTGACTCCAAAGCCATCTCACTATCCTCTAAGTGTTAGGTCTCAAACTCCAGACAAATGGCTAAAATATCAAAGGGACGCCAGCTGCCAGGTTCTCAGCAATGCAGGTACCTGTTACAGAGTCACCCTGGTTGGCATACTCCAACCCCCATCTTAAACGTCTCCAGACCCTGAGCTTTGGCTATATGCCCTCTTTGGTGCTTGTTGTGGTTTGAAAGAAAATGGCCCCCAAAGGTAGTGGCACTATTAGGAGGTGTGGCCTTATTGGTGTAGGTGTGGTCTTGTTGGAGGAAGTGCGTCACCGTGGAGGCGGGCTTTGGGGTCTCATAGATGCTCAAGCCACGCCCAGGGACACAGCCCACTCCCTGTTGCCTGCAAGATGTAGAATTCTCAGCTCTCTTTCCAGCACCATGTCTGCCTACCCACCACCATGCTCCAGCATGATGATAATGGACTGAACTTCTGAACTGTAAACCAGCTCCCACCCCCACTTAAATGTTTCCTTTCTAAGAGTTGCCATGGTCATGGTGTCTCTTTACAGCAATAGAAACCCTAACTAAGACAATGCTCTTAGTCTCCTGGCTTACTCCTGGACTGTTAGCCCACCTCTCTCCTCTCCTCTCTCCTCTCTTGCACCCTATCTCCCATAGCCTGGTTCAGGTTCAGTGTGTCGGCCATGTTCAATCTGGATCCTTCCAGATGCCTCTGGCTGTGTTATCCCTCAGATCTACAATAAATCTTCTCCTCAACCATATCTTGGAGCATCATGTCCTCATTTTGTTTATTCACTAAAATTTCCTCCTACTTTACTTGCTGAACCTGTAAGACCCCCGGAAAGCTCAGGCTTCCAGGATCTCAGCCCAGGAACGAGGCCACCCCAATCACCAGGCGGAGGCAAAAGCTTGATGCAAACTGAACGAGGCTTTATTAAAGTTGTTTAACGAGCCAACCCCACGTTAGCTCGGGCCTTCCATCCATCCACCATGGCGGATGGCTAGGAAAGACAGCTCGAAGAGTCTGCATAGAAATTTTATAGGGCAGCGTAAGGGGAGTGTCTAGGGGTATGCACAGACTCAGGATTGATGTGCCTCCAGGCTTGGAGGGCTTGCCCTGTGTTGATTGGTCAACTGGTTATTATGGCCTATAGGCCCTTCCAGGATGGTTGCTATGCTCTGTGCGTCATTGCTGTGCACTTGTCCACTTGTCCGTAAAGCACACCCAGAGCCATAAAGCATAGCACCACCAGCTAACTTCTGATTGGTTGCTTGCCACGATGCAGGCATCTGACTTTCTAGTGAAAAGGACAAGGTCAGACAAGCACGTGTTCTGCAGTTATGGCTGCTGAAAGGGTCATGCATCTGACCTTAGTGACTAAGACAAGGTCAGACAAGCACGTGTTTGGCTGTTATGGCTGCCAAAATGGGGAGCTGGTCCCTTCAAACCACAAAATCTTCTTCTAACAAAAAAGATCCGGCACTCAGCTAAACTCTTCCCTTGGGCTTGGTCCTCAGCTGGTGGCACTATTGAAGTGTGATTGGATCATGAGAACAGTAGCATCATAATTTGTTTAATTTGTGGATAAACTCACAGTTAAATGGGCTTAGTGACTAGTGAAGGAAGTTGGCCACTGGAGGAGTGTCTCTGAAGAGTCTCAGTCTCTCTCCCACCTCCCTCTGCCTCCTAACCTCCTCCTTTGACTCCCTTTCATTTCCAGAAGCTTCCATCATGTTTCAGCTTTGCCATAGGTCTAAAAAATGATAAAATCAACCTTGTTTTGTGGGTCTCCTTTCTTCTCAGGGATCATGGGCTGCTGGTCCAGGAGGGAGGAGGGTATTGATGAGCTGGGCATTGGTGGCACACACCTTTGATCCAGCACTCAGGAAGCTGAGGCAGGTGGATCTCTGAGTTCGAGGCCAGCCTGGTCTACAGAGTGAGTGCCAGGACAGGCTCTAAAGCAATACAGAGAAACCCTGTCTCAAAAAAAATAAAATAAAATAAAGAAACAAAAAAAATAGGGTATTGATTATTCAATGATCAATAAATGCTATTGAACATCTTCTGCCTGCCAAGTATTCTCTTAGGAAGGGTGAAACAAGGCAGACGTTAAAGTCTTCCCTTGCTGTTTGTATTTCACTGGTGGCCAAGGTGTTAAGCATTTTTTCAAGTGTTTATTGAGCATTATTTGTATTTCTTTCTTTGAGAGGCACCTCTTCATTTCATTAAACTATTCATCAATTGGATGATTTGGAAGTTTTGTGTTTAACTTTTGTGTTTTTTTTTATAGATTCTAAACATTAATACTCTGATGTATAATTGTCAAATGTTTTCTCTCATTCTGTCTCCTGCACATTTACGGCTGATAATTCATTTTTCTGTACTGAAGCTTTTCTGTTTCATGTCATACCATCTGGCAGGTCTTCTTTAAAAAAAGATGATTATTTATTATTATTATTATTATTATTATTATTACTATTACTATTGGTTTTTCCAGACAGGGTTTCTCTGTGGATTTGGAGGCTGTCCTGGGAATAGCTCTTGTAGACCAAGCTGGTCTCGAACTTATAGAGATCCTCTGCCTCTGCCTCCTGAGTGCTGGGATTAAAGGCATGCGCCACCAACGTCCGGCTGGTGATTATTTAAGTTTTTCTTTACATTTGTTATTTATTTGTGTGAGATAGGGCAAGTATGAGAGACAAAGTTATGTTTTAATTTTTAAATACTGTGCCTAAGAGCATGTAAAGGAAGTGGTTCCGTGAAATGATAGTCACAGAATCTCCATGACTCAGGGCAGCCTTGGGATAGATACCCTAGAGGAGTTCCAGAGAGGATCCAGTGATGATGATGGTATGCCAGAAACCAGACGCCTTGAACCAGACCAATGACTCGTTGCAAAGAACATTTGCAAGTAATACTGATAGGACAAAAGGATATTCTGTGTGACTCACCACGAAGCTCCCAGTGCCACTAAGACAAATGAAGGAATGTTGGAGCGG